TAGAAGTCTATGATAATATATAGCAGAAAGACATCTGAGAGCGGTCCATGGACCTAAGAATCTCTGGACCGAGCACGAAGTGGGAGAACGGGCAAGGGGGCTGGCAAATTTGCGGTAAGGGGGGGGCGAGAGTGCTCTCCTTTTCTGTCCTCTTGGTATCTCATGGTATCTCTTTCTACAAGAGGTCACTGTGACCTCTTGTAGAAAGAGAGGTCCAAGAGGACAGAAAAGGAGAGCACTCTCGCCCCCCTTACCGCAAATTTGCCAGCCCCCTCGCCGTATGCTCGGTCCAGAGATTCTTAGGTCCATGGAGCGGTCTACTAGCTCAGAAACAGATGCGCCCCCTGACAAAGTGGATGTCAACTGCGTCCGTTCACTCGGTAACGGTACGCAAGCTATGGTTCATGTCCAAACTTCAGAGTCAGATCATCAGATGAGATAAACAAGTGAATCGGAAAACAGAAAACTTGCAAGTCGATTGGCTTTAATGAGTCAGTCGACTTAAGCCCGTATCAGACTACGGATTGGGATTGGGATTAGATTGAAATTTGACCAATCAGAGTAAAAGTTACTGAACTTGAGATTAGTAAACTTTACTGTGATTGGTTAAATTTCAATCTAATCCCAATCCCAATCCATAGTCTGATACGGGCTTTACAACTTTTCATCAAGAGCAGAATTTGCGCATACGTTTATCATGCGAATGAATTCAAGAATTGGGCCTATGAGATCGGCCCCGCGCAGTTCCGTGTCGAATCGCGAGACAGAAATCTCTGATTGGTGAAACCCGATCCCGGAAGTCTCCCACTTTCGCCACGTTTCTTCTTCGGGAAGGAAACTCGCATTCGACCGGCGTCGTTCTTTCCGCTTCCCATTTCGTCGCTGGCAGTTGTACCGGTAAGACGCTTTTTTTTCTCGTTCTATTTTTCCGTAATCTTTTCTGCCTACTTGTTTCCACTTGTTTGTAAGATTTTTAAGATCGCGCTTCGTCGGTTGTTCCTTTACGAACATCGCACATCTAATTCATCAAATTCGTGATTTTGTAAAACCCTGTTGCTTCTAATCTCGGGATCGAAATCGCCACGTGGGTTGAAACGGAAGATTCGCGAATTGCGCCGCAATCCCTCGATGGAAATATTTTACTGAAAGTACCATAAAATCTATGGTATTTTCAGGAAATTATTGAATGTATCTCAAAGTGATTCATAATTTTCTTTATTAAGTAAGATGAAATACTGTGAGATACAAGAAAATATGTGCATCAGGAATCCGATAAGAGCTGAGCAAAGAACTGCTGTCCCTAGAATCTGTTAATTATATGCAATTACCTTAAACTTCGATATTTATCCTCTCATTTTGGCATGCCTCCAGCTCGCATCTCGCTGGAGCATGAATGCTTGTGGGAGGTAAAGCAAAGAGGGAACTTGCCTTCGGAATCCACACGATACTGTCTGGAGCCGTTTCTCTAAGTTTCCGACACTTTACCCTTGAGACAAAGCGTGCCGATGCGTATTTTTTGTAGATTTAATTTGTACACGCTCGCTTAATGATGCTTGATTTTGCAGGACCGTACACCAAATTCGAGAACCAATTTCAATCGAAGCACATTTCGTCAATATCTAATACATCTGGCTGAGGAAACCGATAAAGGATTTAAGGAATCTGAAATAAAGAGTTTCTGCAAAATATTAGGTTGTTCGGAAAGTACCAGGTTGCCGATTAATATTGTGTCTTTGGTGAAGCCAGTTGTGTGTTACAATGTTCCAAAACTTCCATGTACAAAACTGGCCTCAAAAGAGGCTTGTGAAAATGAGCTGGTCAAGTTTTTTACCAATAGGGACGGGGATTTCTTCAATTGCCTTCAAAATAGACAAAAGTTATCGAACAAAACAGCGCATATTTGATCTAAATCGGATAAAGCGAAAAAACACTCAGAACTTTTTACTTCATCTAAGAATTGCAAGCAATGTTTGATGAAGATGACGCTCAAACGCAACAACAACTCGCGGATCAATTAAATGTGACACGAGAAGCCGTCTCCATACGTTTGAAAGCCATTGGAGAGATTCAGAAGATGGGAAAATGGGTTTCACATGAACTGAATGAAAAACAGCGGGAAAACTGAAAAATCAATTGCGAAATGCTGCTTGCCAGGTACAAAAGAAAGTCATTTCTCCATCGAATTGTGACTGGCGATGAAAAGATATATTTCGAGAATTTATTCTAAATATGGAAAAAACGAGAAAACGAAATTATTTTCCAAACAACTCGATACCGATCCTGACAAGAGCTTTGCGACATTGGTGGCTACAGGTGCCTTTGAAATCGTACCTGGCTAAACTATCCCTCATGCGTTCGAGTGAGCAAGAGAGAATGAGGTAGAAAGTAAATGCATTTCCAGGAGCTCGATTGTTGAATTCATTCGAAGGAGAAACTTATGCGGAATTCCTGCTCTTGCAGAAAAGTTGAAGGTCGATTGGTTGAAAAACTATGCGAATGGTCAATCACCCTTCAACTTTTCTGTAAGAGCATTATTTCCACATACGTTTCTCCTTCGAATTAATTGAAGAATCGAGTCCCAGGTGACATTTCCAAACGCACTCATGAGAGTAAACGGTTCAATTGTTCATTTTACAGCATCCTCTTGATAAACAGCCCTGATACTACTTGATGGAGCTTTCGGATATTATCAAGCATGCTAGAGGTCTTGAAAAATGGACTCTGGTCTATAAATGATACTGCAAGTGTTAGATGGAAAAGGTTCTCAACAAGTCGCCCCTAGTATAAAAAACAAAGATGACGTAGAGAAATGCAAATGGGTTATTTGCCTGAAGACTGGACTACGCAAGTTAGATATGGTAAGTTTTTATATTTAAATGGCGACTAACAAAGGAACATTAAAGATCTTTACAACATGATGATATCGATGTATGATACCACTGTGATTATACACACACGTTTTTACCTCTAAGAAGAACTGATAATTTAAGTTTCTATTTTTACGTTTGCAAAAACCTCAAAATCAAATCTTAATGTTTGCGTATGAATTTTAAGTTGCAGATCAAGACAGCGGTAGACAATTACAAGGAACAGCTGAACACTCGTCACTTCCTGCAATATTCGCACGTTCACGCGAATTGGTGGCAAATCATTCAAGCAAAATGTCGAGCGAAAGAAAATAAGCCTATTGATACACTGGATTGTAAATATAAATGATAAAATATGTTGCGTATCTCTTTACGTTTATGAATATTTAGTTCTTAGTATTCTCTCAAAAACACTAACGTCACATTTCTATAAATTATCAACTAGGCGTAAATTTACAAATAAGTAAACAAAAGTACGAACTATATAAAGTGATAAAATAAAAAATTGGATTAAAAAATGATATAAAAGAGACGAACGTTTCGACTGTTACAAAGTCTTCATCAGCGTTTGGCCAGGAAAAATGTAAAAAGAGACATATAAGATATTACGATATATTTGTCCGGTTTGTTAAAACATTCGTAAGATCGTTGTTCAGCTTCAGACAGTTTGTTTTGCTCATCGCTTCTCGCTGGCGCCGGATATTTTCGACATTGAAGTCCGTTTCGTGGGATGTGCGCTGAAGAAAGTGGCTTCCGTAATGCATTACGCTGTTATATCCGGACTCGTAGCTGTACGTGGCATTCTCCGACGATTACTTACTGTAGTTTGGCCAAAATCCTAACGAAGAGAAAGCAACGGACCGTGAAGCATAGATGTCGTCTTTGTATAATATAAAATGATTATGGATTTGTATTTTATAATTTATGAATGTGCAATGTTAGCTAGCAGTAATTTGTCATGATATACGTCTATAAATATGTCTCTATCGGTTCGATTGTGCTCATGTATCGCTCTGCACTCGTTTTCCAAGCAGTTAAACCCCTTTTCATCCGGCGGTTCCAGCGAGAGTATCTGTACTCCGTCGAACGAATGACCAGGGGGTCAATTCTGTATCTTACACTGTAGTGAAAATGCTAAAATACAGACTTGACCCCCCCAGCACCTGTGGATTTATTTCACAAAGTAGTCTGAGCTTTGCCAGCAAAACACGAGCTGATTGCAGACATAGATGCTACTGTATTTGGTAAGTTTCGAGCGAATTTGATGCCAGTTTTAAGACAAATTGTTCACAGATTGTGAGCTTTTGCGACAAGCTTCTTGCGAAACGAAAATCACGCAATACACCGCTACTTGCGCGGTTTTTTCTTTTAAAATGTCAATGAAGGTAGGTAACATTAGGGTAGGTTGAGATCAGCTGATCGGCACGCGAGTTCCACGGCTTCCACGCGGATTCAGTCTCATTCTGCTTTTCACACCGCGTTTCGCAAGCTTGACATGAACGTGAATTGTGACTATATTTCTCGTTGGTGCTGCTTTAATTTATTCAATTGGGCATATCCAGTGGAAATAGAATCTCCAACACACTCCGTGCGGCCTTACGTTTCACGCTGCTCACCTAAATAAATAATCGCATATGCATCGGAATGACTATGGGCTTTTCGACACAAAAAACCGCTGAGCCAAACTCGGATCATGCGATCGCCGGCGCTGCCAGTGGATTTATAACGAGATTTCTGTGTCAACCTTTGGACGTCATAAAGATTCGATTTCAAGTAAATCACTTGAGACGACGGAGCGTTCGCTTGAACGAATCTCTTTCTACCAGCCCTGAAACCAATAAACTGCCTTTTCTCTTTTATGTCGCAGTTGCAAGTGGAACCAATTTCGAAGCACCACATTAGCAAATACAGATCCATGTCGCAAGCTTTCCTGCTAATTTTAAGAGAAGAAGGATCCGCCGCCCTATGGAAGGGCCACGTGCCCGCGCAATTGCTCTCGATTATCTACGGGATGGCTCAGGTGCCAAACGAAATCTATTCAATGACCTAATCGCAGTTAATATATCACTTTATATAGGGTGCTTTCCAGCAATGTTCGCAGACGACACTTTGTAACAAAGGGTGCTTTCCAGTAAAGGACCACAGATTGACACGGTGTAACACAGAATCATTTTATCCTCGTTTAATAATAGCAAACAACAAGGATAAAACGATTCACCGTGTTACACAGCATCGCCTGTGAACGTTGCTGGAAAGCACCCAAAGTGAATCATTGATCTTTGTTGTTTGCCGTTGTAAACAAGAATGAAATAACTCGCTGTTACACTACGTCAATCTGTCTCTTGCTGGAAAGCACCCATAACGTCTTAATTTTATTGTATGTATATTCTAATAATATATCGTTTATGTGCGTAGTTTTATTCCTACAACATATTCATGAAGATGTTTCAACAAGCTCCGCAAGTCGAGGAATGGCATCACGCGACGCACTTCATCGCCGGTGCCGGTGCTGGCAGCGTGGCGACGATCATCTCGTTCCCTTTTGACACCGTGAGAACTAGACTGGTGGCTCAGTCGAGCAACCATCAGGTGTACAACGGAGTGTTGCATTCCTGCAGGCAGGCTACAGAAAATTTACTTTCGATTAATTAACGTTGCTAGTCGGTGTTTCGCCGGCTGGTAGAGATCTCTTTGTAAAACCAGTGCTCTCATCTCTACGTTTGAGTAACACGTGGTCTCTCGTTTCTCTTTTCTCAGTTCGATTCTTCGACAGGAATCGCCGAGGGCCTTCTTTTCCGGCCTGCTACCGAGCCTGCTGCAAATCGCCCCGCACACCGGTTTGCAATTCGCGTTCTACGGACTCTTCACGGACCTCTATAAGAATTACGTCCCCGGTACCGACATCAGTTTCTACAATTCCATGTTGTCCGGCAGCGTCGCTGGACTCGCGGCGAAAACGATCGTATATCCGTTCGATCTCGCTAGAAAGAGATTGCAGATACAGGGCTTCCAGCACGGCCGCAGAGGATTCGGCAAGTTTTTCGAGTGCAACGGGTTACTGGACTGCTTGAGGGTGACGGTGAGAGAGGAGGGTGTGCAGGGATTGTTCAAGGGCTTAGTGCCGAGTCAGGTGAAAGCCGCCACGACCTCGGCTCTGCATTTCACCGCGTACGAACAAGTTTTGTTACTGTTAAAAATGTTGCGATAAGCGTCGAAACGAGATATGTGTGGAATTACGTATAAATGGAAGCACTAATTTATTATATATACACGTGTTAATTTGTACTTTTAAAAAACCTCGAAAGACTAGTCTCTAATTATAATATAATTACGTAATGATACCCAGATAGCCAAATTTGTCTGAACAGATTTTCTCAAATGCCCACTACAAATTTTGAAGGCAGAAAGATTGGCCGCGTTCAGCGGAGAAAACTGCTCAGCGAGCGCTTGTGCTGACTGGATTATACTTAAAAAATCTAGAAAAATAGTTCTATCGCAGCATAGATCAAAAGTATAACCCAATCAGCGCGAAGCATTCACTGAGCAACTCTCTCCGCTGAACGCGGCAATCTATTGACAGCGTATTTTACAGACTCTAGACTTGTTTTCTGTTGCTACACTGGTGAACTAGTGCAATAAATTAGAGTAAGACAAGTATATATTTTTCTCATTCTAGCTTACTGCACTAGTTCGCCAGTGCAGCAATAGAAAACAAGCCTTCTGTTGCCAAAACAAAAGCCAAATGTGGACACAGATCGTTATGGTTTTTGTGTGGATTACATTATACTGGCTGGGTAATTACATGAATCTCTTAACTTAAAAATTGTCTTATATATGTACATGTATAAAATTGAAAGTAAGTTTCATCAAGTTTGCCTTGGACCGAAAAGCAGGGTTGGAAAGTAACTCGTTACTTGTAACGAAGTTACAGTTACAGTTACTTTTTTTGGTAACTCTAACTTAACTTCGTTACTTTCTCTCCATCTGTAACTGTAACTTAACTCAGTTACATTTTTTCGATAACTAGTAATTAATTTGATAGTTACATTAAGAGTTACTTCATATGTATTTTAAACCTCCACAGATCGCATTAGGTCTTGCATTTGCACATAAACGCTTTTATCAACACTTTATAATTCAAACACAGGTATATGATATTTTTATTTTCATTGCAAGTAATTGCAAAATAACGATTCGTTACTTTTTGAGTAGCTGTTACTGTAATGCGTTACTTTTTAGAATTGGTAACTTGTAACTGTAACTAGTTACATTTTTAGCGAAAAAACTGTAACTGTAACTAGATACTTTTATAAAGTAACTTTCCCAACCCTGCTGAAAAGTCCGTATCACAATGATCATTAACGGGAATCTCTCGCGATTACACGTCGTATCGCAAACGTCTAGAATTTACATTTATATTACATATTCCGCAGGCATCTCTTCTGGGATTCCTTCTAAGACGGCTATGATATTTTTTGCCGTGATACTCGCCATTTCGTCTCTGGTTTCTTTTGTAGCGCTTCCTATGTGCGGCAGAACCACTACAACAACGCCAATGTAGATTAATGCCATCGCATATTTAACTAAAACAGCGAATTCGGTTGCTTGCACTAGTGCGCGCTGAGTGCACACTAAGGCACTTGTTTACAGTCAATTCTTACGTTTAAGGATCGTCTTAAATGTCTCTTGAAATATTTCTTAGCCAGTAAAATGATCTGTATAACATCCATATGTATCATTTTTTAGCTAAATACTCTGAACGTGTATTTGAGACAAAGTTAAATGTAAAACTTGACCATAAATAGGCCTTTCTTAGTGTGCACCCAGTGCGCACTGGTGCAAGCAACCGAATTCGCTATAACGTCTCGCATGATCCCTGCTGCAAGCCTGGATTGACTTACGTACCACAATTACTGAGGTATAAAAGTTCACTGTCCACTGGCAACGGTTCTGGCGTCGTGACGTCTAGGCCAGCCGCCGCGATTGTATAATTCTTCAAGGCATCGATCAGCGCGTCCTGATCCACCACAGCCCCGCGGCTGGCGTTCACGAATATAGCCGTCTTCTTCATCTGGCTGAAGGCCCAGGCGTTAAACATGTATTTCGTCTGTGGCGTCAGTGCCACGGTCGCTATGACAAAGTCGCTCCTCTTGAGCAGGATGGAAAAGTCGACTTTTTCGCCGCCAAGCTTGGACGCCTCCGGCTTCTCGGTTCTGCTGGTGTACAGTATCTCGGCGACGTTGAAGCCCTTAAGTATCTCCGCGACTCGGAGGCCAATTCTACCCAGGCCGACGATGCCTACGGTTTTACCCGCCAGCCCGGGGCCACACATCCATAAGGGCGACCAGGATACCCATTCGTTTCTGCAATACCCGTAAAAATGCGTTTAAATATCAAAGTCACAAGCATCGTGTCCCTGTTTAAAATAACAGAATACAATCATATTAGATTACATGCCATTTCAATGTAAATTAATAAGACTCTTATCAGGATTGGGAAATTTACTTTATAAAAGTATCTAGTTACAGTTACAAGTTACCAATTCTGACAAGTGACGCGTTGCAATCACTCAAAAAGTAACGAATCGTTATTTTGCAGTTACTTTCTTGCAATGAAAATAAAAATATCAAATCCACATTTGAATTGTAAAGTGTCGGTAAAGGCGTTTCCGCAAGACCTATACTGCGATCTTTGGAGGTTTAAAATATATACAAGGCAATTATTAATGTAACTAATTAAATTAGTTACTAGTTATCGAAAAAAAATGTAACCGAGTTAAGTTATGGATGGGGAGAAAGTAACGAAGTAACTGTAGCTTCGTTACAAGTAACGAGTTCCTTCCCAATTCCTGACTCTTATTTACTTACATTGACATTGCCAGTAATCTAATGTACTCTGATCGTGCTCTACCCAATATTTTTAACAGGAATGCCGTTGTACGACGTGCGAGGGGTAAACCGCTGGCCAAAATCATGTACAACAATGCTTACTGATGCCCCGTGGCTATTACTTTGTCTTACTTGATTGTATTGATCTCGTTTTATCTTGTTTTATCTTTATAATGCCCGAAGTAATGCTTAAAAAACGCCTAGTAACGCTCAGTAATACCACAAATCTGTACAACACAATGCCCTCAGCGGTTGACCCCTCGACGACGCGTCTTTACTCGTCCGATATACTTGTAAATTGCAGAATTGGCGCGTACTAAGTTCCTCGACGTGGCCAGCAGAAGAGCTATTACCAGCTCCGCAGTGCTCTCGGTGAGGACGTTCGGGGTGTAACCGACCTTGATGTTTTTCTCTCGCAAGCTGTGTATATCCAGGTGGTCCACGCCCACTGACATCGACGCCACGACTTTGAGCTGCGGACCCGCGTACGATAGAAGCTCGTTGTCTATCACGTCCGTCAGCGTGCAGAATATAGCGTCGACACCGCGAACCTTGGCCAACAATTCCAGGCGCGGAATCGGCGTAGGCCTGTCCCATATTATGAGGTGATATCTGTGCGAACGACGAGGCGAACCTCCGTTAAATTAACGGCGCGCACAGCTGGAGTCTGAGTGTTAAGTTTTATGTATTTATGCGACTGCAAGTCACTCACCGTTTACGCAACAAATTCAAGCCCGCAGCTGGTATATCCGGCCGTGTAATCACGATTTTGGGTGTACTCATCTCGACGGTGCTCGAGGTCAGGGCTCTCGGATAATCGCGGGCGGTCAGGCCGATTCTCTTGGGACGGAAGATCCTCTCGCTCTGCTTGACGAAACGGACGACATTCGCGAGTACCATTATTTACTGTTCTCACATTTGTGTTTTCCTCCGATCCCCGATACACACGCCGGTAGGACGAATGATTACGCTACACGTCAACAAACTAACCTCAACTGTAATTTTCGAAATTTTCTTTGCGGAATCGGTGACGCAACGTCGCGCTGGCGTTCAACGAACGCGCGCCGTGCACGGAAACGCGGAGATGCTCGCGGTGCGATTAATAATAGATTTATGCTTTCGCACTAGCCGAGATAACGGAGGGACAGTAGCGGATCCATATTTGTAGAGCCCGAAGCTAGTATTTCTAGGCCTTGAATAACTTTCCGCGTTGCATGTCCATTTCTATCTCAAAGAAGATTAACTTTGGTATCGGCTGAACTTTCTTCTTATCCTTTTCTTATTCTAAGGCCCGGTTTCACCAACGTTGTTTGACTTTAAGCCTAGCTTAATTCGTTCGTTGTCTCTTACCAACTGTTACTTTGGAAAGAGACAAACGTGAATTAAACTTTAAGTTCAGCTTAATTCACTCTTTGTCTCTTTCGAAGAGAAACAGAAAGAGTGGATTAAGCTGTAGTTAAAATTACGTAACGTTGGTGCAACCTGGCAGCCTGAGAAGCTATTACATATTATTAAAAATTTGAAAACGTAACAGTAACAAAGAACTCAATAAAGTGCGTGAAAAAGTAGCACATTTTATTTGTACAATTATCTAACAATTATGCTACGGCCGGGTAACATTTCTTAAGTTAATGAACAAACGCTCGGTTTTATTTATAATTATTTTCGCAAGAATAATACTTGGTTTCTATGTTACAAAAAATATAATACATCTGTCGATCATTAAATTCCGTAGCAAGCTGTTGCCGCGTGTCAATATACAAATGCCTTGTCTTCTAAACGGTCGGATTGCTTCGCGTCCTCCTGGTTCCTCACAGCAGCCGTGACCGTGTTCTTCATCAGCATCGCCACCGTCATGGGGCCGACGCCGCCAGGGACCGGTGTGATATGCCCGGCGACCTCCTTCACGCCGTCGTAATCCACGTCTCCCACCAAACGATACTTGCCGTCTGCCGTTTTCACCCTGGTGATGCCCACGTCGATCACGCAAGCGCCCGGCTTTATCATTTCCTTGGTAATCAAGCCGGGGACCCCGGCCGCCGCTACGACCAGATCCGCCAGCTTCGTGTACTTTTCCAGCTCCGTGTGAGGCGTGTGACGGTGGCAGATTGTCGTCGTCATGTCCATCGCGCCCGTTTCGCCTGGAAAACGGGAGACCATCAGTTTCATCAATCAGGGCTAGAGATATAAAAATTCGGCGAGACTCACGCTCATTAAGATTCTAATTTGCGTTTTATTACAATTTGTATTTGTCACGAGACTCACGTGCATTCAGATTCCAATCTGTTTTTCTGATCTGTATTTTATTCAGATTCTAATTTGTGTATTTTATTAAAATTTGTATTTGCCACGAGATTCACGTGCATTGAAATTCTAATCTATATTTTATTTTTTAAAAAAAAGATGAATTGACGAAGAGGCCACGAATTAGCAGAGAGGAATACAACAAAATTAATAAAGTCAATTAGGGCTAAAGATGTAAAAATTTGGCGAGACTCACGCTCATTAAGATTCTAATTTGCGTTTTATTACAATTTGTATTTGTCACGAGACTCACGTGCATTCAGATTCCAGTCTGTTTTTCTGATCTGTATTTTATTCAGATTCTAATTTGTGTATTTTATTAAAATTTGTATTTGCCACGAGATTCACGTGCATTGAAATTCTAATCTGTATTTTATTTAAAAAAAAAAGATGAATTGACGAAGAAGCCACGAATTAGCAGAGAGGAATACAACAAAATTAATAAAGTCAATCAGGGCTAAAGATATAAAAATTTGGCGAGACTCACGTTCATTAAGATTCTAATTTGCGTTTTATTAAAATTTGTATTTGTCACGAGATTCACGTGCATTCAGATTCTAATCTGTTTTTCTGATCTGTATTTTATTAAGATTCTAATTTGTGTATTTTATTAAAATTTGTATTTGCCACGAGATTCACGTGCATTGAAATTCTAATCTGTATTTTATTAAAAAAAGAAAAAAAGATGAATTGACGAAGAGGCCACGAATTAGCAGAGAGGAATACAACAAAATTAATGAAGTCAATAGCCTGGCGATAGGGGCGAGCTAACATTGCGAAACGAACCAGACGCAAGAATTCAGATAATGCTGCAGACGGTGATAGGATTTGAAAGGTCTATGACGTCAGAATATGTTATCGCCATATGATTTCAGTACGACTGAATGGTGTTACCAAACTGATATGTGCCAATCACCTTTGCCATCGGCGTGAAGTAACAGCGCGATAGGCAGCCCGACGTGTTTTGACCTCCCTACAACCACGGCGTTCTTCCCGAACGTCTCGATTTTGCTTCTGAGCACCAGCTCCTTGACAGCCAGCGCGGTGGCTGGCGCGATACTGCCGTTGTCCAACGCCAAATTACCGAGGTTCTCCAAGTGAAAGCCGTCCACGTCCTTCTTAGGAATTATCGCCTGACACACCTCCTTCTCGTTCATGCCCTTCGGCAGCGGCAACTGCACCAGAACACCATCGATGGACGGGTCTCTGTTGAGGCTGTCGATTTCCTTGAGCAGCTCCGCTTGCGTTATGTTCTCCCCCAGATGAATGGTATAACTCTCGATTCCTGGCGGTCAATTGAGCAAGATTAGCGCGCGAGTTTCGCGACGGAAACTACCCGTTTACTGAGAGTGAAAGACAAATCACCTATCGACTTTGCAGCTTTCATCTTCCTGCCGATATATGCCTTGCTGGGCGGATGGTTCCCCACTAATATCGCCACCAGCTTCGGCCTCTTCTTCCCTGCACTCGTACAAGTGTCTACAACCACCTTTAACTCCTGTTGAATCTCTTCTGCTATTTTCGTCCCGTCTATGATCACAGCTTCTTGCCTGCGACAAGAGTGAAAATGTAGCCCAGATAGTGGAAAATTATGATGCTCTTACGTTGGTACGTTTAATGTTTCTGGACTATTTTGAAATAAAATGAATAAAATAAGGTACACAGGCAGAAAGATCAGAACATTGTTGAGGCTAAAGACGTACACTTATGACTCTGTCACTTTCATTTTCTTGCCTTTAAATATAACATTTAACACCTGTTGTTCGACATTTAAGCCTAATCTACGTGCTTTCTGCATCTAGAAACATTCTATTTTATATAAACAAATCGAAACGCTTAAAAAAATCGTCGACGGTGTACGATTATACAGTGTATAATATACAATTTATCAACTTGCACAAAGTTGTTAAACGTATTTATTGGCTACAAAGTAGAATGTTTCTAGACGCAGAGAGCACATTGTAGATTAGGCTTTAAGGATTCGATAAGTGGTCCTTTGTATACTCTAGCTAGGATGTTACAACTCGTGCATTCTCTCAAGTCAAATACTGTCCGCAGGAGTCTGCAACAGAGGAAGATCGGCTTACCGGACTCTCGACACGTGCAGCTTCCTCGCGCACTTCTGCGTGACGGCAGAGAGGACGTTCCTCCACGAGAACATTGTCGGTCGTTGTTGCTTCCTGGAGCTCGCGCGCTGATCTGAGGGCCCGAGGTTGCTGCGCTACCGCATGTCACCGCGGGATTTCGGGTCCCGGCGAGACACGACGGGGGATCCTCGCTGCAGGGGGCTTGTGCAATCCCCGATAGCGCGCGGGGGCTCGTGCGTCCGCGATAGCGACGGACCCGGACAAACAGCCGTCGTCGCTCGCGATAAGTTCGCAGGGGGTCGATAACGCGGGGGGGCTTGCGAAATCGATCGGCTGCCGCGGCGAGACCGCGAGTGAAAGGCCAGGCGATTAGAGCACTGGTCCGACCAGTTCCTCGTCCGGCGCGGAGAGAATGCGGCCGGTTAGATTTTCCGGACTCCATGCCCGTGATATTTTATCCAAATCCAGTCAGTCCAGAGGAAATTTTCGTGACTCTCGAGAGTCTCGAGCGGACTCCCCGCGCGACTCATCCCCGTGACGGGTCCAGAGATAATTGAGGAGCACAGACGTTACCGACTGTTGGACATACGGGATTTGAATTTCTCGATCCTGAATGTATTAAGTTTTGAATGCAGTCGCGAACAATTAACGCGATTATAATTTCCCGATTTTACTAGTGTAAAT